GTATGAAAACATGAACAAGTCAGCCAATAGAGGTACAGAGTAATTTCCAATGATATGCCAATGGTCTGTTGGAAGATGTTACCACTAACAAGAGAGCTAATACATTCTTTCAGTTTAGAATGGGGTATGATGGTGTACAGAATTGAAAAATAAATGGTATTCATATTAGAATTTTATCTATGTTCGTATTGCGACTGATTAAGTTAAGTGACCGCTTTGAAAAAGTTACAAACATTCAGTGATATAAAAACAAGAGAAATTTAAGCACAAAATCGATAAAACGAAGAAAAGATCAAGTATATATAATACGGAGGCAATTAAAAGAGAGAGAGAGACAATTAGACCAAGTTCTGAAAGGGTATGCGTCTTATAGGTTAATCCAAGTATTTTTTTATATTTAAATTAACCAGAAAGATATGTGATTTAGATACTATACATACCATCCAGACAGTGACGAATATGAACTCGGTGTTATTGAGAGACCACCCAACCAATTGATTTTACATAGACTTCAGAGTTGATGTTCTGTGTTAATAACATTAAAACTGTTGAATTCAATTTGGCCATTATGATCTATAACAAAAGTTTAGGATTTCACATCATCACCGAATAGAAAAGGAGGAGGGAAGCCCTTCAGCTCCAACTTTTTTCTACGGGAAGGGGGGCATTTTAAAACAGGATGAATTCCACAGTTAAAATTCACAAAATTCTTTATTTTACCTGTTAATAATATGAACTAAAATTTTGACCAAAAAACTCAAATCAGGCTTACCACATTTATATCAACATTATCTATGAATAATTACCTATCAGAACATGCATCTGTTTTGGAACATAATTTACTGGCCAATCAGTGGCGGCCAAACTTTTGTTCTGGGGCTTCTTCTGTGCATAGGGGTCATTTCAAAAGTCTGTTTTCAATTTTCAATCCTTTGTTTACCACAAATCATACAAATATATTAATTATTAAGACCAAACTCTAGCTTATAAATTGTCAATTCATTACAAAAGTATTTCTATCTTGTATATGTTTTATCCACTTTGCGTTAGATTTGTTACAATTTAATAAATGTTTTCTTTGTTACATGGATAATACAAAAATAAATATATATTGCAGATGATTTCCCTATTACTGATGTTGACTGTAAATCTATCGGCTGCTGTTGTGTGTAACGAACCTAGTGTGGAAGATTTAACGCAACTTAAGAGTACACTGGCAAATTATCTATACATGACCAGTGAATCGCCTTACGGGGAGTAAGTCACGTGTTTGATATTATCTGATCTTATTTATTAATTGATTTTAATTTGTTTCATGCTGGGAATATTAATACTTATTTGACGAAACATAATCAAACATATTGCTTTAAACATTAGACGATCTACACACCATTTGTAGTTCTATCTTTGATTACTCTGGTGTTGGTTTACATAGCTGAATATAACGCAGTTACCTTCATTTAATAGAAGACATTTTTTTCAAAATTTTAAAAGCATTTTTTAAATTAATACCATGAGACTTAACCCGATAAAAATCGATTCAGCAAGATTTTTTAAACGAGAAATAACCAGAACACGTGATTTCGAAATAATTCATAGTAGTTAATTAAAACGAACTCATCCAGATCCGATAGAATTGAACTTAGATGTACAAAATGTTTTAGTCTTATTATATTTTTTACTACAAATGAAATGATGAAGCAGTCACCCCTTGCAAATATGTTTCTTTTATTTCTTCATTTACTCTTAGACCTACTTTAAGTTCTAGTACCATTCATTGTTTTGTCTTCATAGGAAGATCTACAGACCATACTTCATGATTTTTCTTTCAACATTTTCCTTTTGGACATACATCGCATTAAATGAACATAGTAGCACTATAACGCATGATACGATTATTTACATGCTATCACATAATTTCTTTTACTTTTTCATTTACAGTCCAATAGCCAATAATGATCATTGTCCTTCTCGTTATTCTTTGATGCAACAAAGAGCAGTGAACACCGTCTGTCCATCTTACACCATAATCGAGTCCGACCTTGACCGAATCCCAGTTAACATTTCTCACACCAGATGTCTCTGCAGAAATTGCCTTGTCAGTCATCATAGCATGTGTCACGTCATTCATCGACAACTTCCGGTTCTTAAAAAAACTGGAGACTGCAGAAATGGAGAACTTGTGTACAATGTTGAATTGCAAGATGTTGCAGTGGGATGTACCTGTTTACACCGTACAAATACATAAATTACGGATTCAAGAAAACGCCACTTTAGAGAACTTGTTGCAAGTATTAGGATTGGATGTGAATTGAAATTTTTTTTTTTTTTTTTTTTTAAAAATGGAAAATAATTGTCAAAGGCACAAACTTTTAATTTTCTCTTTATCTCTACTCCAAACCTGTTTGCACATACTTTAATAAAAATCATGATATGTTGGTTGTTTTTGTTTGTTGTTTGTTACTATCAACATTTATATTTCAACGGTGATCTTGTCCCATTGAAATTGTCGCATTAAGATATGATCATATAGAAATAGATGTGGAAGCGTCAATTTATCGTGGCTCTTATTTACCAAAAGGCCTTGATGGACAAAGCTGTGATTGTGCCAAATTTAGTTTATTTGATCAGAAATTATTTTGTCGTAAAACATTTATAACAATGTAAGTTTTTATAAGCCATTTTTTTATTTTATTTTTGTGTTCTTTCTATCTTTTCCTGTCTGATATCCTGACGATACACAAGTCTTTCTATTCTTCAATATTTTATGATTTGTTCGTATATTGCAATAAAGGATTTATTAGAAGTTTAAACTGTCTTTCCTTTTATCATTAAGATGTTAAGTTTCATATGGAATCAAGAAACTATATTAACTGACACGCAAAAGAAACTAACCCTCCAATGTTCGATACTATTTTATTGTTTCGTTCAAATGAATCTTTTTATCTATTCGATTATATATCACAGTGAATTTAGAGTTAGCAATCATCACTTAAGAAAGCAATGTCAAGGCTGAATTAATGGTAGTCATCGAAATCTTGGATTAATTAATGTACGAAATCAACGGTCTATTAGTTTGCACGTTTACATTAAAACAATATGTCTTCTTTCAATAATAATTTGTAAAATCTTATAAATTTGGCAATATGTTATTGAGAATTAAAGAACCCACAAGAACATGACAACAACTCACAATCTCATGATTTCAACCAGACGTCTCATAACAACCAGCTACCCCAGGAAAAAAACAAGACATCTCATGGATACAACAAGACATCTCATGGAAACAACAAGACATCTCATGGAAACAACAAGACATCTCATGGAAACAACAAGACATCTCATGAAAACAACAAGACATATCATGGAAACAACAAGACATCTCATGGATACAACAAGATATTTCATGGAAACAACAAGACATCTCATGAAAACAACAAGACATCTCATGGAAACAACAAGACATCTCATGTAAACAACAAGACATCTCATGGATACAACAAGACATCTCATGGAAACAGCAAGACATCTCATGAAAACAACAAGACATATCATGGAAACAACAAGACATCTCATGAAAACAACAAGATGGAAACAACAAGACATCTCATGAAAACAACAAGACATCTCATGGAAACAACAAGACATCTCATGTAAACAACAAGACATCTCATGGATACAACAAGATATTTCATGGAAACAACAAGACATCTCATGAAAACAACAAGACATCTCATGGAAACAACAAGACATCTCATGGATACAACAAGACATCTCATGAAAACAACAAGACATCTCATGGAAACAACAAGACATCTCATGGAAACAACAAGACATCTCATGGATACAACAAGAAATCTCATGGATACAACAAGACATCTCATGGATACAACAAGAAATCTCATGGAAACAACAAGACATCTCATGGAAACAACAAGACATCTCATGGAAACAACAAGACATCTCATGGATACAACAAGACATCTCATGGGAAATCTCACAATCTTTTGATAACAACAAGACATCTCATGGAAACAACAAGACATCTCATGGATAATATCCATGTGATAATATCCCACCAATCCATGATAACAACCCGTCATCCCGTGATAATATCCCACCATTCCATGATAACAACCCGTCATCCCGTGATAATATCCCACCATTCCATGATAACAACCCGTCATCCCGTGATAACATCCCACCATTCCATGATAACAACCCGTCATCCCGTGATAATATCCCACCATTCCATAATAACAACCCGTCATCCCGTGATAATATCCCACCATTCCATGATAACAACCCGTCATCCCGTGATAATATCCCACCATTCCATAATAACAACCGGTCATCCCGTGATAATATCCCACCATTCCATGATAACAACCCGTCATCCCGTGATAATATCCCACCATTCCATAATAACAACCCGTCATCCCGTGATAATATCCCACCATTCCATGATAACAACCTGTGTCTATATCCCGTGATAACAACCCATCATATGATAATAACCTAACATCCCTTGACAACATCCCACTTCCCCAAGATAACAAACAACTATCTGAATTCAATTTTTCAGATTATCTCGTCGTAATATTAGATATAATGGCAAACACTTGTGTCTATATCCGGATGTTTTACATACATTCGCATGCAGCTACTAGGAAAGAGCTTAGTTTGCCAAAAAAGTCAAATATAGATCACCATTGATAACATTCTTTTAAGTTATCTATTAATTTTAATTCCTTATCCTTTTAAGATTCATCTGGTATACCTATGTTCTAATTTAGAAAATGGATCAAACAAAATTGTTGAAATTCGATTTCAATTTGCACTAATTGAGAAGTGTTTAGAAGTGGCGTTCCAGAATATGGCAAAGATTGGGGATTTTATTACAAATTACATCATACTAGGATCAGGAGACCAGCAAAAAAACATAACACCAAATGCCATAACCATTATTTAATAAATTAAAACACAAAGTTCGAAAATCATCATGTTGAAAAATCCTGTGGAATTTTACGAGTTGCAGAATATTTCTTTTTCATTGGTTTCTTCCCCTTCTTGATCCTTCTTGTTCTTTTCCTCGTCAATGGTTTACGAACGCAGTGACATGACACTGCTACCCTCTGTTGCACAATGACGTAATCATACTCCCCGTTCACACACGCATCCTGTCTTTTCAGTACCGGAAGAAAGCGATGCGCCGGCTCACACCTATACTGCAGTCTGTTCCTTCCTTTAATTCCAGATATCTGACAACTGTCACATGCACAGCGTGTATGCATGATCACAGAGGGTATTCTCGTCGGCACGGTTTCCTTCACCATGTAAGATGGACACGTAGAGTTTGTAGTTTTGGGGCAAGTTGTAATTATTTCATTGGTAATCTTTGATCTGAAACACATATTTTATATATCTAATGATTAACCACTTGGTATACATATTATTCTTAATCTACATATGAACTAGGCATTTTCTTTAAATCTCCCTGTATTTGTATCAATGAAATCATTTAAGTTTGGGGCTATTGCACCTCGCCGTATAATTTTGACACTTAAATTTGGATTTTGTTCGGTGGCTTCAATAAGCTTAGTTCTTAACATCAGCTAAACAAAATAGTTTATTTCATTTTTCGTTATATTGGACATAATTGGTATTGAACGGCGCTATTCATTAGTATGTTTGCACAACACATATGTATACAATTGTGTAAACTTGAAATCACAACGAGACCATTTTTTCGTGTATACTCATGTTGTTAAATTAAATTTATTTGGTTGGTTTTACAATATCACAATACTGTGACCTTTGCTGATCTTATTAAAAATCAAATATAAATGTTGATGATTTCTTAAAAGTTGTATGACACACAATTCAAATGTAAATATCCATTCAGCTTTTTTTATAATTTTTGACTAACTTGTATTGAAATTATCGTTATTAATTGCTTACATTTTTCACAATATGCTTAGGTCTATATATATATATATATATATATATATATATATATTATCTCTTTTATCTATTTGTTACAAATTCAATAAACATAGATCTGTACAAATGCTACTTACGGTAAGATCTCAATCACAGCCTCAGAGTGTATATCGATGGCGTCGTATGTTAACCAATGACTGTCCCTTAAAAACAGCATCTGTGTTAAATTTTTCAACCTATCCGAACTCGCTTCTCTGCAGGCTGGAGGGCGACCCGTACACATTACAATCAATGCCGTCATCTATGGAGGAAGAATAATAGAGTGTTTTTATTCGCTAGATAAAGTTTCGTACCTAATTAACATTCGTGCCAAGACTGATTTATAACGGCGGACATCAAAACCATTAACGATTTGTAAATGTACTAGCTTGTGTCAAGTAAAATTTGTACACGTTTCTTATAACTAGTATTATGATTTAATCATACTTATAATTGATTATACTTAAAACTGTGGTTATGACATTACAGTTGTAGTTTTGCTTGTTACGAGTAACCGTGAAAAGATTTGTAAAGCAAATCAAGGGAGAAAGCCATTGTTCGTTTTATATTCTCCGTGAACAATTTATCGTCTTTGCTAAACTGCGAGAATTTTAAAAAATAATATTTTGCATAAGTGTCATACTTTGATTACACTTAACATTTTTATTTGTAAAAAAAAACTCAACAAAATTCAAAATTGTTGTATCAAATAAGCAGAGTCACAAACAAGAATGAAAAGGTGTTCCACAGTATAACATATATGCGTGTCGATCGTACATCTCATAAATAATACCGAACACTATCTCAGACTATTAATGTCAGTTGTTTATAGTTCGTCTTTGATTTGCATGGTTGACTTGCCCTGTCCCAGATAAATGACAGGTAATATTCTAGTTGCTGTAACCCATTTCCTAGACCCCGATAAAAGATTTGTCAACTTGCAAAAATTCAGGCGCACTGAATCTGAATCGTTCTCCACATATGATGAATTTTATAAGCTCATTTGGTCGCTTCATAAGGTTGTCTTTTTACGTGTTATTTGACATGTATTTTGCTTGACTTATATAAATTTCACTCGAAATTCAGATCATCTTTAACTCCATCTAAAATTTTGAATAAACTGACAATAGACTATTCAAGATCTAGGAGAATAGGCTAATTCTATGCAGCAAGGTATAAAACACCTTGAATTACGATTCGTGTATCATGTTTTATAGAGGAAAGATAGCTATCAGAACAAGTACAAGCGTAAACTCATTTACTCAAGGATATGTGAAATGGCAATTATCATCCCTGTCATCAAAACAAACAGTGTCTAAACGAGAACTCGACACCGATACACAAAATACGGATATGACAAAGAAAAGAAGTAAGGAAGAGAGGAATGTTGAAAACAAAACCAAAAAAACACAAACAAACATTGAAATTGGAATGTTGTTTCACGGGCCTTGTGTGGGACCTATCTAAACAGCTGTCCTGAAGTTGGCAAAGTATTATTCTTCAAATCTAATGAAATATAAACATCACGACTTTGGCGGTTTGGCATTTCTTCTTTTCACTTTGTTGCTAATGAAAAATGGCGGGCGAAAAAAAGAAATAACAATGTAAATAAAAGAGAGGAAAATCCGCCAAAACGAAAAAAGAAGAAATGATAAAGGGAGGAGACGTCAGGAGTAAACCATCGTCATTGTATCTGAAGATACATTTTATCTGAACAATCAAGATACAATCTGCCAGAAATACTATATTACATACCCCATCTCAATTCCGCTGCCGTACACTTTACACGGAATATTTGAAATCATACTTTTCATATTTGACTTTTGAATTTTAAATAATGCAAAAAGGTTCTTGTGAGTTTGTGTGTAAAACTGAAGTGAAGGAAAATCTAGGTAGATATTTATGATTCAGTATTTAACCTATCTGGAAAAACTACAAGGGGACACTAGTCGATAATTTACCTGACAGAGCAAGATGACCACATCTCTAAAACGAAAAACAGTCATGGTATGAGATTCTCCTGGTCAATTCAATGGTTTCTGGTCTCAACTTAAAACGGACAATTTTGATTTTACTTTTATACAAACACGGACTGGTTTTCCATCATTAACCTTTTTTCTCTCTTTCCTTCCTGAATCTTCTTGGCTATCATTTGTTACATTATTAAACAGGAAGATATTTCCATGTTCACGTATAGGGTATATTCACATATGGATATTAGATGTCAAAATAATTCCCAATCAGATAAGCAGGGAAACTATGTACATATATTACATTGCAATTCAATCTCAATTTCATAAAAAATTAAAGAAGATTAATGAGACTTAAACTTACCACAGAATTTTATCATAAATATTTGAAAAATCACCGCGTCATGCTAAAATCATGATGCTACGTCACAAGATACATGTTTGATTTTTACAAATTGACGATTCGTAAGAATACAATAAATATGACATGTTTCTGCGCTGCTGATAAATTTGTCTTATTACATATATTTGTAACTATTCTTTAAATCGTCCAACAAGCTAATACTCTAAAATCCTTCATTTTCGTGGTAGATTTATTTTCGTTGATTTTTGCTGGAATAAGTTTAAGATGCTTTATTCGACTACATTCATTGAAATTTATCGATCACGAAACAGTATTTTCTTGAAAAACCATAAAATTTGCGCCCCACCAAAATATGTGATTTTACAATAGTGAGAGCTCTCTAGTCAAACGCACAGTACAACCACATACAGATAAGTTTATGTAAAATTTCAGGATTACATTACATTATCTCTTTCTATTCCTAAGTTAAACATTCCGCTATAACGTTAACGGCATTAATAAAGTTCCTAACGGGCGGACTTTGACCATGACCAGAACCAAAATAATAGTAGATAAAAAAAACTTCAGCTTAATGGTATATTACACTTGTATTTTGAGAAAACAAAGTCAAACAAACTATACATGAAAACTGCACACAAGTAATAATTTTATATACTTCAAATTAGATAGATAGATAAAGATTCGCCAAACAATGAATAAAACTGCATCATACAGCTGCTTTTGTTCTCCCAGAACTCTAAAGGCCATGGAATCTGGTGTTTCAATAGAAAATATAATGACAACGAAACGACAGATGTGGTTATAGCCTCCTTCGATTTTTTGTCCTAAATAATCATGAAAGTCAAATGTTTTAGTTGAAAATGTAATAAAATACAGCAGGAAATTATCTACCTTTGACCCAATTTGTAACTCAAACTTAAGGTCAATGAAACGTCAGGATATGAAATAAAAGTTAACACTGGAAAAATAGATAATCAGACCATGTGTTAGACAAGGGTAAGTATCTTATACTTCAATGACGAAACCCCTACCATTCAAATATATTTCAATACCTTTAATGTAACATTAATTCTAAATTCATACCCATTTTCCACTTTCTATTTTATTATCTGTGATAGACTGTATATACAACTGCTCATCAAAATTTTTCACATTTCTTTGATGTTTACATTCACCTCACGATTTAAGCCTTAAGCATCACTAACGAGTCCTATAAGACCAAAACAGTTGTATGGTTCGGTTTAATTCAGTATTTGGTAATACTGATTTAATTCTAATTTTGAATCGATAACTCCTGTTAATTGGTAGAGTCCTTTTAATGGTTCATTTAACTCAGAGCTTGTCAGGGTCCAACACCCAAATTCCCATATTACTCATTTGTAACAAAACATGACATCACCTGATTTATGACAATATTTGAGAGTAAGAACGAAAACGTCGACTTGTGTCAGATCTCAAACCAAACTCGATAACAAAATACGATGAAACTAAGACAAAATAGGAACAAAAGAAATACTTCTACATCTACCACATAATGACCAACTTGAATAGGTTGAATCTTTTGTCATTTATGGTTCACACGAAGACTCCTGAAAGTACAAACAGAATTAAGCTAGGCGTTTCAGAAGAGAATTTGTTTTATATTCTACCGACGACACTGGCGTTGCCAATTATGGTCAATCCAATCAAATAATGTCAAGGTAAACAAGGTGGGCAACAACGAGACCAGCATTCCTACGAACAAAAGTCAAACACAAAAAGTTAAGCAAAATGTCTTATACAAATGATCGCCATTTTCATTCAGTTTATGGCGTTTTATTTCATTGATGATTAATGAATAATTAATTTCAAAAAAATAAATTCTGGTCCTTTCTCTTTTTCGTGTTGTCAATTAACACTTAATGGCAAACTTAACAGTATTTGATTTAAGGTAAGGTTGGCAATAAAGTCTTCAAAATTAATAAGTCACATTATATTGGGAATCCCTTTCGCAAAGCATGCAAGTGGTTGTCTGTGAGTGAAAAATCCACCTATGACATTTCTTCGCCAGCTGCGTTTCATAATAGGTATTGATTCAATTAACAAATCGAGGAAAAAACAGAAAATTTATGGATTGAGATACTTTATCAACACGGTAAACATTGTATAATACTTTATATGGGTGTTTTACGCTCACAATACTGTGATGATACGTCTCTAGTAATGAGCATCAGAAGATATAAGGAAAAGTATCCGATACCATGTAACCTGAAGAATTATTATGTGTATCATAAAACATTGAAATGTACCACCTGGTACCTCTTTTTATCAAAGTAATTGCAACTTAACGATCTTATCGCAAATCACACAGTTTTGTTCAGTTAAAGAAAACAATATTCACATCATTTCAAAACGGTAGTCTTCTAAACTTATGTCTTTACCTTTAAACGTTAAAACACAATGTGAACCCAAGTTACAATTATTTCTCAAGTATCAAACTATAAATATGTGTAAATCTTTCATTAAGCTAACAAGGCTTTTCAAATACTGTTCCATCTTCATACCTCTAGGTTTTAGTATCGTTTTCATCACACTGTATCACAGTTTGAATTGGGCACGCTTGATCAAATTTTACTCCGTTTGACAAAACATTGAAACATAGCGAAATAATAAAATAAAGACATTTCCCAGATTTAAACACTGATTGAGATTTCTGATGCTGTCACTAAAAATTGTTTCAAAGTGTCTTTAGATTAAATGCTTCGTTTTGCTTTTTAGTATCATGTTAATTATCCAATACCGTATATCATGTAGTATTACCTGTCATAGAAGGATTATTACTAAACAAAGACGATACAAGGTAATCAATTAAATTGAATTTTATTTTCAATACCTGAGAATCATATTAATGTTTTCTCGAAGGACGAAACTGTATGATGCAGATCAATTAATCATATGGCTATATCTATCTTGATCTAAATATTCTTAATATGTTGTTATAGATGTCATTCACTGAGTTGTCTTTCCTGCTATCATTTCTTATACGAGGAAATTATTTTTTTATTTTTTCGTCAATAACAAAAACGTGTATATAGATTATAAACACTCTTCTTTAATCAAGACCAAATAAAGTATACCATTTAAAACGTAATTTCACATAAACACAGGCAAATGTAAAAACAGATTATCAAATGTCTTATTTTGGCATTTTCTCCGTTTCACTATGATCAAAAATATATTGATGATCGTTTCGATGGTCTTCTGCTTGAATATCATCGGTATGAACGGAACTAGGAATTTCACTTCCGGGTTCAAAGTCCGTAACAATCTTTCCAGTAATTGAGTAAGACATTGTGTCGTTACGCCGAGGCTCCTCCACCGGTCCTAACTGATTTCGATTATCCTGCTGTAAAACATGTTTCTTCATGCACACACATGTCACAGCTACTTCCTGCAGGAACTCCCTGTATTCATACACACCTGCTACACAACCGACCTTCTTCAGGACAGGGATGTGTCTGAGCACAGGTTTACAAATGTGATGATGACGATGCTTGTGACGTAGTACACAATTCTTACAGCGACATCTAGTTTGAATGATTTGGGATGGTATTCTTGTCGCATCAAAATCTAGTTCCTGAAAGGTAGGACAGAGAGGGAAATTTTCTCCTTTCTTTGGTAGGCGGTAGGATGGGCAATCTTGGTCAAACCTAAAAATTAAAAGTATAAGATTAGAAAGTTTGGTTTCGTCTTTTATGTAAAGAAATATCCTCTGTCACCTAAACAATAACGACCTTAAAGAATTTCACTACGTCATTATCGAGAAATGCACAAAAAACAAGTTATGAAATACAATGTATCATACAGTTTTTTGTCATTCAAGGACTCTACCATGATGATGAGAATGAAAGAGGATCAAAATTGACCGGAAAAGATGTCAAACGGAAGAGCATTAACTGAAACTTCCAAATAAGAAAAATTAGTTCTGCAGAAATTTCATTTTTTCACACAGTATTGCTTGAATGTGAATGTATCGACTCCCGGGTGAACAAAATGCCTGGTTCGGAAGCTATTACAAGGAAAAAGCATGTGACTCTATAACGCATGTGTTCCTTTGTTATCAGAAGTCTTCAGAAAGCAATGATAACAAACAACTCTAGTACTGTATAGGCTCCCGATCACGATACTCAACGTTACATGACATTCTTTCTACTTTCATGCTTAATGGTTTTATTCAAAAGATGTAAACATCTATAATGGTTAATAATACAATGGTTCAGCATATACACATATACTGGACGTTCTTTTAAAATATTAAAAATTTATCGGATTTATGAACCATCCCATCTAAAGTCTGACATCTATTTTGACTACCTTCGATTTTCCTTATTTACCTCAACACATGGCTTAGCTTGAATTAACACAGACGAGTCCTACAATGCGGAAACAGCTGTATGATGAAGTTAAATTCATTTATACGGCTCTACTGTGTATAATTCTAAATTTATGAGGAAAAGTGCTGTTCACTTGTATGTATTTTGTAGTGTCTGGATAATGATTTCGTGTATCGAGACATATTTCTACTCGGCTACATGATTTTCAAAGAAATAATATAAAAAAAAAACAGTCAGAAATTTTTTTCATTACTTGTAAATGATGAAGACTTCGATATATTTTTTTCTAATTTCAAGGA